ACTTTTTCAATTTTTCCTATACCATAGAAAATCTACAGAGGACTGGAATAGTGCTATAAAAAATCTTAAATATCTGAAAAGCGAATTGAAAGCCTTTGTAGCTTTACATGGCGTTTTGAAGATGATTAAGCTGCGCGTTAAGGGCACTAGAGAACTTTGAAAAAGGATTATAGTAAACCGGGAAATCCTTAAAGCGCAAACAATTTTAATATAATTGTTTATATAATGATTTATGCGCTTTTCAAAAAATCTGGCGTACATTGCAATTTTTAAAATTACATGAAAATTTACTTAAATCTGGAACCACGAGGTTTACAAAAGCGATAAAAAAAAAAGCTTCAAATTGCCGTCCAGTGGCTAGTGCGTTCAAAACCTCTTATGTGTTTAAGAGTACCAACAGACACATAGCTCTTTTAATTGTTTTTTAGGTTTTCTGTATTATTTCAAGATTTTCTAGGATCACATAATGACCTGGACGCATGATACTACAAAAAGTTGTAGTATCATGACCTGGACGTACATTGAAAACCTTATACCTAAGTCTCCTACAGAAACGGGCCTGGACGCTTTCGGAAAGAGGCTAGAAAGCTTTATCAAACTTTAGCTTTTTTTTAAAGCTTTTCTAAGAATAGTAGGCACAACCTAAAACTGAAAGTCTGTTGTGTGCCCCACCTTATATAACGAGAGCGTTGGAGTTGAATTTTTTTTATTTTAAAGGGGATCGAATTGAACTTCGTTAGGGACCTAAGTAACGGGCGGCATTTATTACATAGTAGTTTTTTAAGAGTTTGTGATTCTAAATTTCCTTTTAAACGTCAATAATTTTCCAAAAGAAACGTTTTAATGGCGCGATAAAGTTATAATGGCGCGAGATTAGATTCACCTGCAAAATTTAATCGTAATCGGTCCATTCGTTTACGAGTAATCGTGCTAACGGACGGACGGACTGACAGACGGGCAGACACCACAAACTTATAAACTCGCAAGGAGGTCGTTAACGTGTTATTTGATTAATTGTAGTTTAGATACAAATAAAATATCGACAGACTCGTACCATTACCAGATATTACGCTTCGTGTATGTATCTACTAGAAATTCGAAACGGAATCGACTTTTACCATCCGGCATCGGCAATTGATTAATTTGAACTAGATGAATAGGAAAAATATACTCTCGTTACACAGCTAGACTCACGAGGAGAACCAATATCCGGGTCACATTATGTAAAATATATAATGCTCGTGTCCAGAACTAATCGCCGAAGTATTCATTTCCGGAAATGTCAACCGCAAACGGTGATCAAGACTGATGATATACAATAAACCAATTCGTTGAGTGCTTTCAGCGGCATTGCGTGATAGTTGCGCTATTAGATGGCGCGTTTCCTTGTTAAATGGGCGTGAGATCGAAATATGCAGGGATTTATTGTGCCTCTTATTTTGTGCATGTTATTTTGTAGGAACAGGAAGTCGTTGTAAATGGACAACAGAATTGCGGAAAGTTTGGCTTAATTCCTTCGTGCATATTGACAAATAAATATTCCATCAAGCCAAATAAGTTTCTTTTGGGAAAAATACAAATATTTATTAAAAAAGTGTAAGTAATTACATCCATGTCTCAATAATTTCCTTTGTATCAAAAGAAACTGGGATCAAAACCGCAGAATATATAGCTTATTCGACAACCCCTTATTTCATAGTCGAGTATTTGGTAAGTATATAAGTAATCAATTATAGTCCATATAGTCTTATTCTTAGTAAGTAAAAATTGCGTCTTCGGAATTAACGGTCGCTCAATAATTTTGTTGTTATGGCCAGATGGTTTTCCAGGACACCCGCCATTGTAATGATTGCCATTGGAAGTTTCGAGAAGAGAAGAGAACGCGCGAGCGAAACTCGAGGACGGTGCTAAAAAGGCCCCAAACAGGCGTAAAGAAACATCGAATGAGGCGTAAAGAACACTCGAGGGAGGGTCGAGGAAAGGGAGTTTCATAAATGCTCATGATTATAAAAATTCTACTTTAATTAGGCACATCCCGAAGACAATAAGGAATTGGCGCACGTTGACGTTGATAGTTCATGGCATGTAAAGTTAAAATGTGTACCTATCTGACATTATTTAAATGACGTGGATAAAAATCTACCTATGGATTTTCTAACTTCCCGGCTATGAATTTTATTTATTTATTTATTTATTTATTTATTTGCCTTTATTTTTGAGTGGGCGGGGTTTCAGCCAAGGCTGCTCTACCAACCCAACCCACTATACATTTACAAATATCCATGCCCGAACCCGGATTCGAACCAGGGACCCTAGCACCACAGTCCAGCTTCAACTGAACTGCGCCACACGGGCCGGCCAATATAAAAATCCTTGGGTTTCATATTACTTAGAAACAAATGTCTTTAGACACGGTTTCAGAAATCTCTCTATACGAACTACGCAGTTCTCCGGTGAATTGCAATTGTAATCTCCTCCTCAGGACAGAGTCTTTTGAAAACCTTGTCAACTTCAACAGATCAAACAGTTTTTTTAGGGGGCATGTTTTTCTCTAATCTTCCTCGAAAATCTTTTACAAAGATTCCTAGAATCTTTGCAGATGGAGTGCAAGCCTTACAAAAATTATAGGAATCTTACATCGATTTTTTAGAAACAGATAACTTTTCTTATTCTTTGAAAATATCGTAGAAATCTTGAGACACTTTTTAGAAATCTTGGGCCACGCATTTCTGCGATATTTAGTGTAGGAAAATTCATCATACACAATGCAATTAATTGCAACAGTAGCTCTCTAAAAGGTTTTAATTTTTTAGAATTTTCGTTAGAGATAGAAGATAGTATTAGAAAGTATACAGTGACTTTTCAAAAATTTGCTGTTCTGACTTTCATTTTAAATCAGTAATGCTACAAAGGGATTAAGTACATTTTATTTCTCTACAGTCAAGGTAAAAATTTATGCGAAATAAGTACGTTTCCGCTGACTCATTTCGTACGCTGGATAAAGAGCGAGAAGAAAAGTACGATTATTATTCGCATACGCATCAAGCGGGGAAGCCAGGTTTTCTTGGTTCGGGGAAATTTCTTTATACGAGTAATCAAAAGTTAAGGGATTATTTGTGTTAGCCGCCGAGCGAAAAAAAACTGTTTCAAGTTTTGTTACGGTTTAGTGAGAGCAAAATAACCACCGAAATTGAGTCCATTATAGTAAAAAAAAAAATCTCACTTGAACTAATTACCTACAATATCGGCGAGTTTTCAAACGCATTTTCCTGAAAGAAAACATCTGATAAAATCTCTATTCTATCCAGCTGTACCTGACCTAAATATTTCGATATAATATTCACATTCCCGTCCCCTTTTTTTTTTCGAAACAAAAACTCTGATTTTTTTAATTTAAAGGTAGGCATCAACCTCGTGGGTTCGTGATAATATTTTATTTTTCGCTGGCGATCGATTTCGGGTAAAACTCATCTTCGAGATGTACCTACCTTATTTACAAACAAATACAGCTAGGCCCGAAGATGGGTTTTACCCGAAATCGATCGCCAGAGAAAAAATAAACTATTAGGTCGCCATCGTAAGTCAGAGTTTTATTAAATTTAATAAGTACTTTGTTGGGATGATGAATCTGGGTCACCATCCAGTTGGGCTTTGAGTTTCTTCTGAATGCGCATGCATCATTTCGATGGGAGTTGCTGCGTTATCTGTGCAGTCTTGACCAACTGATAGTGGGTCAGTGTTTCCAAAGCCGTTGGTAACGAAGTCACTGATTTGATCCAATTTGAGTGCAAATAACTTACTTACATCGTTAAAATAATATCGGTTTCAGGGGCACCAGATGTAGGAGACTTTCTGAGGAGAGATTTTCTAGCGAGTCCATGTGTTTCCTCATCGTATCTTCCCAACCTTTTCCTTTTAGGTTGGGGGTTTAGTTTTCTAAAGTCTTCTGCGACTTTTCCTTGCTTGTTTTGGCCATGTTGATTGCGATTCTCGTAGTCGTTTTCTGGGTGGTGATGGGGGTACTGCGGTCTCCCTGTGTGAAAAGATGTCTCTATCGACAGCGTTATGTGGTGGGTTTTTACATTGGCGGGCTATCTGCCCCTGTTGATTACATCGGAATCAAAATTCAAAAAGATACGGTAGTTTATATCCTCGTGTCTTACGATAACCTATGGTAGCAAGTATTTTGTAGATTCGGACTGTATGTAACGAAAACTCAAAATATAACGGAATTTCCACCTTTAAATTTATGGTGGTGTCGGTTAATTGTTGTTTATTGTATTTTAATTATAGTAATGAAATGATTACTAAAATTAACGCAAAAGACTCTAAAATAGAAAGGTAATTAGGACAAGAGAATAATAACTTACATAACAGGATACATTCCGTATGGAGGATCTGGGCTAGACCATATTGCATCGAAAGTATAGTGTATAGTAGGTTGCCTATTTAAATTTATTGGGATATCCTAAGAGGGTACTATGCATTTGCGGACAAAAAATATTACAAATAGCAGTTCATAAGGAATTTGTCAGCTCAATTTTCGTTGCTTTCAAATTTCTGTAAGCTATTAAACGGGTGAACTTTCAGATAATTAAATACGACTCTTTTTGGTGTTCATCTTTTTCAAATCTGTGCCGCTTAATAGGACTAGAAATAGAGAACCAATGCTTTAAGTGTTCGCACGGCTCCTGCATGCTTAAATCCGAAGTCCAAACTCGAAGCTTCCGCATGTTTGGAAAAATTGAAACTGCCGAAAGTAAATTTTCGCAAAGGGTCTATTAACAACTTATGTGATCAAATTTACGACTACTATCAGCTCATAAACGCTCGAAGCAGAAACACAAGATAAAAGTTAAGATAAACTTTGTAAATCATGAATGCATCCCAAATTTGCAAGTATATTGTTTGACTGTAAGCTATGGAACAAAGGGGGTGTGTGCGCTGGCGCGCGACCCTGCAGACGCGTCGGGTTTGGCAGTTCTGCCCGGAACCCGGAATAGCGCGGACTCAACTTTATCTCCGAAAAGTTCTTACAGTCACGCCCACTTATACGCTCAACTTCAACACAATCCGGCGAAGTTGTCCTGAAGTTCGCCGCCGAACTTGTCAACAAAGGATATTTTTTAAACGCATAAAAATATTATTCTCAACTCGTTTAAGTGATAAAACTAATTTTGGAGAGACTTTTCCGTAGAAACTTGGAAAATTGTTTCTAACTTCTATAATCAAAAATAAATTTTATCCAAAGGACTTGCTTTAAAAACATTTTATCGTAGTGTATAGCTTTCCATCGTATATTATCTATATAAGACAAACAAGCTAAAACGGAAAAACCGTCAACTTTTCTCAAGTGTTATAAAAGAGTGGGAGTGGCAATTCGTTTAGTGATATATATATGACTGAGAGCCAGAGAATCTGATTATGTGGAGGCATGGTGTAAGATTGCTAATGGATAGTATAACAAAAAGCGAGATTTTCACTAAATCATCTTAAATTCAGTATAATCGGGCGATTTTAGAAAATTACTTAATAATGAGTGGAAGATTGACGATAACTGCATCAGCGGTGAATTCTGGATATACGCCAATAGTGATTCTTTTTCTTCTGGCCGTCAATTTAGGTACCTTAATTCTTCCTCTTGTCTTAGTAACATGCAAATGCGACCAAAAATACCATGAATACGAAGTTCCCTATTACCATCAATTTTAGCCAACTACTGCAAAATGCTAATCTGATTAGATGACATTTGTAAACGGGTGATTTAACACTACGAGATTACCTTTAATCAGAACTAGCTGCAAACGCTCATATTTCACTCCATGTAGTTGGCAAGGTATTCGAATCGGCGTTGAACGTGAAATATTGTAGATGAATGTCAGAAGTAGTAAATAAGAAAAAGTGGGAATCGAATTTTTTCGTGTTAAAGTCAAAATGTCAGACGCAAAGTTTTTTGGATTGCGCGCTGACAAGTTAATGAAATGTTAAATTTGAGAAAAATAGATGCTTCTGGCCCATGTTGTGTAACGAGCCTTTCCAAATTAAAGCTTTTGGCTGTTTCGGATAATATCACGATCGATTAGCCCTAAAATTCACACGGGGGTGCATTCTTATTTACTCTGATATGAATCTTATGCAGCCAGCAGATAAAATCGATACACCATCAAATATGTATGCAACTGAATGAATACACTTTTCTTTCCGGAAAACGCGCGGGGACGTGATTCGTTTCTTTTCTTATCAATGACACCATCTCTAGCGCTTCACTAAACTTCCAAAAGGCTAAATGCTGACTGTAGAAAAGTAAAAAAAAGTGGAAAGCTCAACACGATGAGTTACCCCGAATAGTTTTTCATAGCGCCAACAAGCTCACCGTCTGCCAAATTCCAACATATTTAGATTTGATTCGCAATCAATTAAACTTAGGGGAAGTCGTAATGGTAAATTTATTTCAAGTCAGTTGTAATAAGAGCATAACGAGAACAGTTATTAATCTGCTGCGATTCCAATTTATTATCCAATGAATCCAATTCGAATTTAAATTTTACACTTGATGAGGTAAGACGCTGAGAAGGTTTTCGTGCATTTCTCAACAATGATAAACGTTTTTCTAACGAAATCCTAATTAAGCCATTCTTTCCGCTCAGGTGTAATTTGTACGAAATTACGCAAACTTCAAAATGAGAGACCCACAGTTTTACGTTGCGTCCTTACTTCTTACGAATGTACTCGCAGTCAACTTTTCGGGAAAGCGGAATTTGATGCGAGAAAATCTTTGTGAGTGGACGATTACATAATTTTTCTGCACAAGAAATGCCCACTAGTAAGCAATTACAATACTTATTTTAGTTGATTAATTCATGATGAAATTGATAATAGACAACTTTCCACCACTTAGGTTTTTCTAAACCTGTCGGTAATACGAGTGTACTAAAGATGTTGAGTGTACTGAAGGTGCTACTTAGGTTGTGTTGGAAGTAGGAAAAGTGGGTGCTTTGACTGTAGCTTATGAAAACAATTGATGCAGGCGCCCTTCAGTCAATGCTTCTTCAGATTGAATACAGCACCACGCACGTTTTGAGGAATATTTTATCTTTTACATAGGTATTACGGACTCGTTGCGTTGAGAATGTATGCGGGGATCTTTTATGACTTATTTAACGACTTCAAGAAATTCACGTTTCGTATCGCCTCTCTTACACAACATTTTTGTACAATGTATTAATTAGAAATAAGGTTGTTTTCATTGAATGAAATTGTAACGATACATAAGTACACTTAGTGATACGAAAAATGTACTTCCAGAGGTGGTTACATTGCACGTAAATATAAAAACAACTTTTCAAATCATATTAAATCTGTGAAAACTCCATTTAAATTCTAGAAAATAGTTTTTAATTAAAATATAGCATATAACATTTTAAAATTTTAATAAATCCTTTTTAATCCGAGAGCATTCTCCTTTGTTTCGATTTTCAGAAGCTTATTTATTTTCTTTTTATGTAATTACTGTATAAAAAGTGACCACATTTCAATACTCTTGTTTGGTATCTCAGTTATTTGAAATAGAGCGTCAACAAACTCCGAGGGTCATTTGCTTTTAAGAAGTTAAATGACGGCAGTGATCAAAAACGAAATCAGTAAATTTTAAAATCAGACATCAATTAATTTAGGTGCCCCCAGTTATTTTGAATTTAAATATAATTTATAGTCCAGTCCACAGTCATTCTATGCAAAAAACGGTAAATAGAAAAAATAATTCGAGTAGTTTTAATTTTTCCGGGAATTTGTGATTGAATGTGCTTTGACGATTGTATAATAAAGTCCCGAGGGATTTTTCGAGTGTTTCGAATTTGGGACCAATTTGTACTCACAAGGATTTTTTCGTAATTTTTTTATATCGAGATCATCCATTTTGCAATATGTGATGATTGTATAGGTAGAGCTTTTCAATAAAAGATGCCTAAAAAAATTCAGCCTTCACGATACTCGAGAAACTTGTGGTTTTAAATTAAGGACTTTATTTGTGCCCACATTTTTTGGTAAAAATTTGTTGAAGTTCGAATTTTTAATTCTTTTTAGGAAATGGCGTTTTTAATGGAATGTTTGGAAATCGAGATTTAGAAACATGGTGAAATTTATGAAATAAGGCGACTGCTTATTAAAGAAAATGTATCAGTAAATGCTTTGTCCTTAATTTAAAACACAAACTTGCATTCTCCCAAATATTTCATTTGTTGTCGTTTTTTCATTAGAAAGGCCGAAATGTTATGTTGCAATATAAATCAAAATTGAAATTTGGCCAGAAAAATTGTTTATAGAACAATTTTCAGGGGTACAAATTGGTCTTAAATTCGCATTCGCATACAAGCAACGCGAATTTCGGGAAGCTTCTGTGTGATTTGTACATTATTAATGGAAATTCTGAAAATTGCGGCTTTGACATGGGGCGAAGATGATGAAAAAAGGATTTTTCATTAAAAAAGGTTATCAGTCAGGGTTCAAATCTTGGCCCTCTTATGTTTCTAATATTTATAAACGATATCTCGAATTGTTTTTCATGTAATAATCTTATTTTTGCCGATGATCTTAAAATTTTCGCAAAAATATCTTCTATCGATGATTGTTTATGCTTACAGGCGAATATAAATAACTTAAATGCGTGGTGTTCATTAAACAAACTTAAACTGAATATAGGTAAATGTAAGGTGTTGTCATTTACAAGGAAGCGAAAACCGATACTATACTGTCATTTACTATACCAATGTATTCTACCAGGCATTTAGACACCTTCACTTATCCTACTCTAAAATCTCTTATCTAAAATCTTCTTCGTAGAACTCCATCTTTAATAAAGGCATGTAATTATAACATGAATTGTCAGAACTGTGACATTAATTATAACTCATTATTGAATGTTTTAAGTTCTATTTTTGAGTAACAAAATTTTGTAATTATTTTGCCTTCGTTCATAGAATTGCTTTCTATTTTGCAACATTAAGTGTACCATTATATACGCTTACCCTTTTCTGTTACTGCTTGTTTACTTTTCTTACTAATATGTAATAATTATATTCCATTTATCTTTTCTTTTTACTTTTTCTATAATAATGTTAATAATACAGTATGTATTACAGTACAGTATTTTTTTAGAGTCTAAATTGACTGAAAACCCTCACAACATTATCATTGATGTGAATAACAACAAATAATTTGGTTGGATGTTACAGTACAAATTAGTCCTAAATTTGTAGTTGACAATTTTCAGATAGTATCGAAATTAATCTCTAAATTCAAACTATTAAGCAAGAGTTCTAGCTATTACACTCGCTTAAATTTTGTAAATGGTGGTCGTAATAATTTGGATTCATTGTATACAAGGCGGAGCAATGTTCCGAGAAGATCACAGTATAGCTGCTGCAATAATCTACGCGACCATTGTCACTTTACAGGAAGCTTTCGCGACAATTCTCTATCCACCTACATAATAATGGCTCACTAATGCTTCTCCAGATGCAAATTATTTTGTCAGTCAATTCTTATACGAAAAGAACTGTTCGTTGTAAATGACTTAATCCATTTCAAAGATCATTCGTAAAAACCAAATCAAAAAAGTAGCTTTGTTGTAATAAAACAACCTGAAAGAAACGTCAAAACCCACAAAAAACTAATTAAACGAAGGGTTTTTGAGCTCGGTTTCGAACTGTTGTCATCCGCGTACAAATCACCTCAATTTTTTATTCAACGTCTCAGGGGTGTTCGTTCGCTGATTATGACAATTTTGTTTCTGAACCCCACCCAGTTTATAAAATTTTGAGATGTACAAACTTTGGGCGCACTGCTGTCATGATAGCAAGAACCAGAGCGAGACAATTCTTTTTTCAAGATTTCAGACATTTTATACGGATAGATGTGTTCATAAGGGTACATGTACCTACTTTTTTTAAAATTGTATTTTTGGAATTTTCGAAAGTGACGTGACGTAATATGGAAACCTTCAAAAATGAACTTTTTTTTGTTTTATCGATTTCCGGTGAAACCGGGAAAGATACCGGAAGTTTGAATATGCGATCAGATAGATCGTAAGTTCGCATATAAAATTATATTTCATCTCATATCTCATTTTAGAAGTCAAATCACATTTATGGTTGATTTTAATTTGCTTACTTATTTCCAACGTTTTGCTGTGGTTTAAAACCGCCCATTTGGCAGAAATTTTCTTGCCGTGACATAGTGTATTTGAATTCAAAATAATTTACTATTTTTACGAGAATTATATAATACTTGAGGTGTCATACTTAATAGCGCATAAAATTATATTATCGCCGGGATGGTTTTAACGTTAATCCCATAACCGTTGGTGCTAGATTACCAGTTTACGATTATACAGAGTGTTTCTAAATAAGATGTAAATACGGAAGGGGTATTTAAATGTTGCTTTAAGAGAAATAATACTAACCTTCGAAGTTCAGATAGACCAATTTTCCTTTATTCCAATTTGACTGGATTGAAGACGCCCTTTCAGTATACCAAGGAAATGTTTGCTGCCTGTTGAAGCTGCATCAGATAACTGTCTCTTCGCATCTGAAAACAGGACAAATATGAGATTTTAATAAAACATTTTTGTGGCACCAGTAAAAAATGTTGACCTGACCACAAGCCACATAAATCTACATAATAGTAATCTGCGCAGAACTATACATCATGTGCAGCATGAAAATTAACACATTGGATGATATTGGAGCTCAAGGTATCAAGTCTACGTGAATTCTACAAACATGATCTTTGTCATAGCAAAAGCATTTGGACGGCAATAGGAATAGTCTAAACTATCGTATGGACGAAAAACCATCTAAATCTATTCTTAAGACAAAACATTCTATAAACAAGTTGTCTATCGGTGACATATGTATTATCTAACAGTATTCATAGTGTCTAAAGCGCGCGTACAGCTTTTTTTGTTAACGCTTTAGGTTATTGTTTGAACAAACGGATAATTTTTTCAAAAATGAAAGCTTAATATTTAAACAACATATTTGCCCAAATTATAAGAATGAAAGCCGTTCTAGCAACATTTCACTTACCCTAGTATGTTTTTTAAGGGTTCTAGTCACAGTAATAAAGGATGAACAAGTTAGTGAACGTGCTTTTGTCGTAAAAGATGTCCCTTTGAATTTGCACCTAAACTTTACGTGTCGGAGCGTTTTCGGTAATTTAGTTTTAACTATCCGAATAAAGCCTTGTCTCGTTTTCAGTGCGTAACCCCGTATTTACTATTCTTTTTAGATGTGGTTAACGTAATCCGCTGCGATACAGTAAAATTTATCAGAAGTGTCAAATTGTTTATTGTATAGAAACAATTATAAACCTTTCAATTTTCTGAGACATGGGGAGTAATGATTACGTTTGTAAAAATCATTGTGCTGAATTATAAAATTTAACAAAGTTGTAGATTGATGTATATTTACTATGTTCTTTTTCCGAAACATGCACTTAACGCCAAAAAAAGAGAGATTCGAAACAACCCCTATTAGGCAACAGTTTACGTTGTTATAATATAGCATATTAAGAAACAAGTAAAATAGTCCCTATCTATGTGTCTATTGTTTGAAGGAATGTCAGGTTTCTTCACTCATCTGTACCTACTGCAGTCATTTTAATCCCTATTAATTACGCCATTTTAGAATTGAGGTATACTACAATGAACTTAAGAAGTTTTAAAGTGGTAATCAATTCATAAAACCCGTTCATTAGTGTTAATTGCACTAATTACATTTACGCCTGATTGTTAAATTTAATTTCAGTTACTTACTTATATTTAACAAATTTCTCAGTCGTGTTTTTTAAACACTATGCAAAATGATCATTTAGGTACTGAGTCTGTTGTCTGTTTGTGTACACCTACTATGAAGGTATCATTAGATGTTTATAATTGAATGTGAGAATAATTACTTAATGTTAAATATAACTAAGGAGGTGGAAAATTTTTGCCAAAAAACCGTAATTCTTGGAACAATTTCGTTAATATAAGTACTAAACGGAATGTTTCAAAGATACGGGGAAACGCGATCTTTAAAATTGTGACGTATTCTACAGGAATGAAGGCACTACATTATGCTTATTCTTCATATTGTAATCAATATCGAACATCACTGGGATAAATTCGTTTGATGGCACTTTACCGCAACATGTCGCCTTTAATATATGCTATCTTTATTTAATAAATTCAAATTTTATGGGGAAGGTTTTGTGAACTCTGTTCCGGCTTATCATTTTCCTGCATTTGGAACATCCCGAGAGAATGGATGCCCAGCAAACCCATTTAACCTTACGGAGAGCCACGAATTTGAAGCAACTTATGTATGTGCTGTAACTTGTTCTATGATTACCTTTCTCTTGGATAAACAATTTTACAAGGTGAATCAATTTGGGGAAGAATTTATGACAAATCCTTGTCATTAACTTTTCATCTCTTAGCCCTGTTGCCACTACCTATGCAGCTAAAAATGGTGTGGTATGTGGCACGTGTTTGAAGCACTGAATTCTCATTCCTACCTACCTTAGGTAGAGGGTTGTAGATTTTCACGTTATTCAATAATTGACACAATAGTGGTTTTTTCATTATCCATGCCCTGCGCCTTCCAATTTTTCTACCTACACGTACTTCTAAAAGTTAAATATTTTGTGTTGAATACCTTATAGCTACATCAGCTTCATACATTAATACAAAAACATGTAGAAGCCAAGATCGAACATTTTGTTGCTGAGCGCCAAGAATAATAGTAAACAGACGAGTTTTTGCGGCCAGATCGATAACATCCGCTTTTTCTAAACGGAAAATCTGTATTTGGCAGAACCCAGTCCTTGGTCTATCCAAATCCGCGTGGATTCGCATAATAAATCGTATAGCAATGATATGGTATCAATTTTTAAGGAACATTGAGAAAGTAGTGGCCTACATGTAAACATCAATTTGCAAATGTTTCCATTTACTCCACGAGAACGGTTGCCATGAAATAGAAGACAAAATAAAATACTTATACAGTATCAAGTGGTGTTCAATAACCGTTTTTCTTCCCATTTTGGAACAGTAAATCAAAACCAACAAAAAAACTTTCTCCCTTTTTTTCCGGTCTGACATATTATAAAATCGAATTTGCCCTTAAAAATTCTCGTGCACGTGTCGCGAGTAGATTGATCGCATTTGTTTCCCTTGATAATAATGCAAGTTCAGAATCCGACCGCCGATTCCCCAAGATTTTTACGTGATATTCCGAAAGTCTCCTCCGAGAATTAAACTATTTAGAATTGAATAAGTAAACTTTTGCGCCGACGGTTTCTTACCGCATCGAACTCCACACGTTTGACGTTTTTGTCATTGCGCTTCGTATAAAAGGACTGGTTAAATTTGAAATTAACCGAAATTATGCTTTCATAGCGACTCGGAACTGTTTGCCAAATGACTGGAAGTAAGTACTAATTCGTATTTAAATTTTTACATCCGATTCGTTGAATTGATTTCTTTTCACTTCATCAAGAAATATTAAGGGAAGAGGCAGTGTTCTTGGGTATTTCCTTAATTAAAGTTGGTAATAAACTTTTTCTTTATAATTTATTCAAATGCATTAATTTAATTCAAGCCTAATGAATCTGTAGAATACACTTTATAAACATGAGGTTTTAGCAAAAATGTCAAATAATTTCTCTTTTCCGAAATAAATAACACGAAAAATGGATTATACAGAGAAACGGTTTCCTTTGGTAGATGTAAATGCCTTGAGCAATGAGAACCTGGGATGTATTCATATATCCAATTATTTTCCGATATATACACGGTGAAATTATATGAAATACGTATCCCAATTTTCCTACTCGGCCTTCAGATTAAAATCACCTACTCCCGTCCAGTTTGAGACTTCTTTCATGTGCTGCTGTACTACAAATTTCTGTTACCAAGTTAAGCTTCACAAAAGTTGGTAAAAGTGGGCAAAGAGTAAACAACAGGTATCAACAGATCAGGAAGCTATAGTTGAGATTAAATTTAAATTATCAATACATCGAGGGATTTGTTTGCAGTTAAATGCTGAAAGTGAGCACTGCCTTAGTTCTCAGCAAGCAAATATAAAAATTGAAAGGATGGCATACGATCTGCAATGAATTGGGTTAGGATGGAAAGTGGAAAATGGAAAAATATTTCACGAACTGGCTGAAAGTTAATCAGGCAATTAGCTGTAATTAACGCAATCTGTGCTAGGTATTTAGTAGGGCGGCGAGACGGGAGTTATTCGACGAATCGATGGCAAATGAGCTTTTGAGCTTTTTTTGCCTCAAACTATTCATTTATTTGTATTTTTTACTGAAAATTACATTGATAGCTTTTAAAAATGCTTTAAATTGAACTCAGTTTTTTTTGCACTTTACTTACGATGGGCATAAATATGTAATATCTTCCAGTAGGTGCTCAAGTGCTATTATGCCGAATTCATTTAGCACAAATCGTCGTGTTTCATGAAGAGGATTATTTGAGAATCACATAAAGACGTATATTGGGACTCGGCGGAGATTCTCATAAGGATTTAGACTCGTCACTTATTCATGGCGCAACGTTGATTAATACGTAAGTGCGGAATAATTAACGAAATCTTAATACGGAAGGAATTCTAAAATTAACCCTAATCGCCGCTTTTGGTTGTTGGTTAAGAATAATACAGGAAGCGGCGAGGAAAACTTTTCAACTTTATAAATTCTGAAATTATATTCTACGCCAGGTTTCACTTTCTTGTTTATAATATTGCCAAAGTAGGTATTAACGGAAAAAGCTAGAGAATATTAAACCACCTTGATCTTTAACCAGCAACTCACGTATTACAATTTAATGCCCAATTGTACCATTCAACGTTGAAATTAGCAGAATTGTGAAATTTGATAGGATAATTTTGGGATCTTTTACTTCTTCACCTCAGATGAACTGAATCTGATTCAGTTCGTTGCGTTTTGGTTATATGTACTATATTAATACTCCACGTACAATGTAAAAGTATAAAAAGGTCCTTCACCAATATTTCGTTTTGCAGCATTTTTAAAATACAAGTGTAATAATTAGGCGAGGGAAGTTGGCAACACCTTGGTATCAGGATCATGTAAGCCAGATCCTGTTTATGCTGCTATCATCCTGCCGTATCCCACTTCAAATTTCAGCAGCACCATCCGTTCGAGAGATACACTACACAATCAACTGTTTGAATTTTATCCATTAACAATTTTATATTGGTACAGGTTGCATCTTATTTTGTTGCCAACTTGCTTCTCAGCAACACTTTGGAAGATCCTCCAAACATTATCCTGATTGTATTGTAATTTGTTCACATCATTCTGCTTCAAGTCTCAGGTCTACAGCCACGCCCGTTGGAGAGATATGATTTTGGTCAGCCTTGTAGATAATAGATGTGGAATTTCCAGAGTTCGTCCTCTTCCTTGATTCTTTCCACTTGTTTCTTAATTTTCCAATATCTCTATCATGCTGGTAAAACCTTTCTTCATTTTTCTTAACCTCTTCCTTTATTTTTTCAACTGCTGCATTCCTT